CTCACCCAACGCATCCCTGATCCCAAGAAGCCGCGCTGCCAGTGCACTTGACATGGCAAACAGGTTGCGGAACTATTTAAACTTGAAGTTGAAATTCATGGTTCAATTCATAGTCATAATGGATTCTTGGGTGGGTTGTTTGTTCTTCTTCCCTGCCGATGGAGTGCAGTGGTTAATGGTGGTTTGTGGAAAGTTTTGCTTGTTGTGGTTGTTGGTTTTTGTGAAATATAAATAAGTTGCATTTGCAGTGTGATTGGTCTATTGAATGATTCATCATCGTGTTTTTCTTTGATTGACTTTTGGTGTTTGATGGTGTTTGCATGGATTCTCTGACCCCCTGTGTTGACAACCAACCATAACCCCAGCCACAACATCTGCCGGAGCAAGCAACTCTGATTGTACCATGGTTCATTGAAACACTCTCGACAACGCATTTGATCCATGTCAAGTGACCACCAAGCCTGGAAAACAGTTAGCGCGATGCATTCAAAAGTTAGTGCGGAGAAAACAGTTATTTCAGTTTTCCGTGAAATTTGCCAGTTTGATGATCTTCTTGCCACGACTGTAGTTTCCGCTAACAACTCTCTTGTTACTTCATGGGTCACAGATTTGACATGCACAAGATATCACACGATCCATCTGCGGTGCTTGTCACCGCGACTAGTCACAGGTGAAAAACGCAGTCAGGGCACGAGAACGGCACTGTCACCATAGCCCATGCTTGCTGAAAACGTCAAGGAATCTTGCCTGGCAAACCAAAAACTTTAAGAGCCTCTAAGCAAATGGCCATGTGCAGGGAGTTCCAGTTTCACCATCGAGTCTAAATGAAAGGAAAACCGCCGTGACCCGAACAAGTCCGGCGCCACTTCTCCGTGGAATTCGTGACGAACTCCAGAAGTTCGGACTCATCCAGTGTCTCCAGCTTCTTCCTTGGCCAGAAACAAACACATCGTCGTGCAAGCCCATTTTTTTGGGCCGCCCATTCCCGGTTCCTCCCTGCTAGACCATCCATGGGATTGGAATACATGCACTGTGAAACTTACCTCGTTTATGATCCATCCATGGATAGTAACTATAGTCCACATGGATGATCTGGCGAAGCAGGTTTTTTCTTGAAGGTTGAAGTAAAGGTCCATCCGACTCATATGTTGAAGAAAGTGGGGAAGTCAGGGGCCAAGCAAACATCCACTTATCGGATGGTGCATCAATCCTTCCTCAAAATAGGCAGGAAAGCACACGTGTGAAGACATCTGGGTGACTAAACATAGGGAGACCCCTCATTCAACCGCTGAGAAGAAGGTATATATAGATCAGTCTACCCAGAAGGCCAAAGGGTCTCCCTGAGAACATCAATTCTTCTTCTTTCCACGCTCTAGGACGCCGAGAAACCTCCGGCCAGGGCCCCACCAGATCACCATCCACCCGAAAGGATGGCTCTTTTTTCCAACCCCGGGATATCATGTCTGGGTTCTAGGTATATAGGGTCAACATCAGCACCCTAGGGATCCACATGCCGAACCTCAAAAGGGCGCTTGGACTCTCCAAACCGACATAAGGCACTGTCTCCAATCATCCTCTCAAAGGGCACAAATGGGGACCCATCTAAAAGAAAATCAACACATAACAAAAACGTAAATGTAACGCATGGTTTGGGTCTATCTGATCTATCCTCTAAATTCCTGTAACAGTGGATGATGGTGGTTCAGTTGCAGGCCTTGTTCAAACACAAATGAGCGGTGTTCAAAATTGTGTTGTCTTTTCTTGCCGAGAAATCAAACCTTACGGTAGGCCTTACGCAAAGCTTACGTTCTTCTATCTTTTGCTTACGGTGACACATGTATGCATGGCTATTCTTACGTTGTGCTTACGGCGAAGGTATGCAAGTCCACTATGGTCACATATGAAATGTTGTTGCAAAACAAGCAAGGACAAATCAACAAGTGTCGCTTCCGGTAGCCTTCCGGCATCGTTCAAGTCTGCACATCCTTACGGCAAACCTTACGGACACCTTACAAACATCAGCTAAAATCACTATGTTCACTGATTTTTCGCCGGTCCCTGACTAAAGAGAAAGGGTGAATTTTTTAACGCTGCTCAAATATAATTGTTGACTGACTGTTACAGGTAATAGCACAGACCCAAGGTAAATGTGGATCCAACGGTGACTCACCATCATCCAACATCATCCCTTCGCAACTCACCAATATCACTTGCCACGTGGCTGTGCCTCTTCACGGAGATCCTGCAGCGTGCGGTCCCCAGTTTCGGCTCCTGGTCTGGGACGTCGGCATCTGTACAAGCATCTGTACAACAAACACAACGTGTATGTGTTTCTTTTCTTCATGCCTCTCTCATGAAAAAAAAAGAAGCTGGCAGTTCAATGGGAGATTGCTAACTACTTGTGAATCCGGCTCTACAGAGACCTTTTGACAGATTTTTTGATTTTGCTATCAAAGAGGACGTTTGGTGAATGCTTGATGCTTCATGCCAGTATCGCACAGGTCCAACCGTTCATGTGGAAAAACGTAAACTCTTCGACTGGATATGGAATGCGGAATGGCTCTCATCCAGCTATCTCTCAAGCGCACGAGCGCTCACCGAAGAATCAACGAACCCGCTAGCCATTCAAAGGAAGTAACAAGTGAGATGGAGAAGCAGATGTGTCAAAGAAGATTTGACAGACTTCTATCTTGCAAACATGAAAGTCCTCAGTTTCGACTACAAGAGTGTTGTCCTTCGACCAAACAAGATGCATAACGTCTCAACGAGCAAATGCTCAGAGATGCAAGCCCTCGCAGAACGAGTCAACGAGCTACTCCGAAAGAGATGGCAGTGGATCGATCACTGGCGGACCCTGGAGTTGGCACCTGAAAAATGAACAGAATGGACGACCTTGGGCATTCGCTGATCTGAGAGTCGTGGATGCGACCGTCTGCGAGGTGAACAGAATAGACTACCTGGGAGGTGAACCTTCCAGGGTTTGGCGGTCTTGACCCACAGCCCTGGACGTAGAAAGGAGTCTCTCATCTCAAGGTGCTGAGTCGGCACAAAGTCAACGCGTCAATGGGTTCGGGTCCGATGTCGAGCCGCAGGAATCAGGAAGCCGAAAGGAACCCGCTTCAGCATCATTAAAATGCTGAGAACGTCCAGCTTTCTGCAGGTGTGTTGTGCAGCTCTCATCTGTCAAAGAAAACACAAACATGCCATGGCTAACTGCTGATGACCTGCAGTTTGGGCAGTCTGAAGTGGATGTTTCAGAAGTGGGTGACAGAAATGAGAAGAAGTTCAGACAGGTTTCATGCTGGAGAAATCTGGTGTGGAAATCGATCTTTGAAGTCAGGTTCCAGTGGCTGACACAGCAGGAGATGAACGATATCAAACTACAAGAGAAACAAAAGTATCCAGCTGCATTTGAGAGGCGCTCCTAAACTGGGATCACCATCGGATCATGGGATCAGGCAGCCCAGCGACATCCAGCGACCAGCGGTTTGTTGGCAGACCGTCACTTTCCGCAAACACCAAGGTTTGTGAAGCTCTCAAGCGCTTGGTCAAACATCCATCCAGACCGGGAAAGGATCGAAACCCAGGGAAACGCAGAGATACGCCACTCGAACGAAGAAGAGAGACGGATGAACATCATCGGCCCGTTCGTGGCGTTGTTGGGAGGGCCCAAAGGAGAACATGAAACATGGAGTTGGACTCACCCATTCACTTGGTCAAGGTTGCCAAGATTGAAAAAAGCGACTTCATCAGCTTTTCGTCCGCGACTTCATTTGGGTCGACTTCTGTAGCTATTGCTTCAACGTGAAAATGCTTGTCGATGACGGCTGTAAAGGTAGTAGATCTGCAATCTCTAACAGCTGAGATTTGTCTCATCAACATAGATGTACTATCCCTCAAACTCATTGGTGAAGATGTCTCAAACTCACATCTATCAAAACTATCCCTCAAACTATCCCGAAACAAAAAAAGTTTGCAGCAGAGCTTCCGTACTCATAAATCCTCTTCACCATGTCTTCCAGCTTTTCAGCATCAATGGGCTTCGAGCGACTGTGCCTGCATTCGACATCCCGCGCGCCCAGAGTCGCGGCTTCTGCTCCAGCGGTCTGGAGAGTTTGGATGTCACATCTTCACCGTTTAGAAGGTCACTTAGAGACTCCAAAGGTCACTAGACTGGCCATTCAAACGGACTCCAAAGGGACTTGCAGGTCACTTAGTGACTTTCTAATGACCCCGACGCGGATGATGGTTCTTTGGGTGGAGGCCCTCAACCAATAAAACTTTTCTTAAGTGGAGGGGTCCGAGGAGTCATGTTCTTTTCCTTTCTTCAAGGCCTCGAAGTTATCTATCATTGGGGACCTTCAAAGTGACCGAACTTGATATCCCAGGATGAGGTCACTTAGGTCCGTCGAAGGTCACTTAGAGACTCCAAAGAGAGGTCATTTTGAAGGTCCTGGATGGTCCTGGTACCTAGCCGGTCTGCTCATGTATTCATGCATTCCGTCACCGGTGTCAGACTTCACCGGATGGAATGCCAAGCATCAAGCTGATCATCAAACCTCTGTGAACTCTACAAGCGCCTTCGTCTAGGTGAACCCCCCTACACTGAAGATAGTCATCACAACCAACATTGAAGCACCAAACCTCATAGTAGACATCTTACATGAAATCCAACCAATTTAAATCACCACTGGTTTCAACATCAAATCTGGACATAGTAAGCTCTCGGTAGAACTCAGTGATGCCGGATTTCGATGCATTCCCAGTGACCAAACCAGCTTGTCGGCAGTCTATCCAATGGACAGCCAGCTCAAAAATGGTGTGAATTAATCCTTTTTCTCGGAAGGAGGAACACTTCTGCTTTGGTCCTCTTTATGGTGATGGTGAGTATCTTGACACACGAAGAAGTGAAAACCATCTACATCCCTAAACCCAAGCTGTGTGAATGAGTGTTATACGGTATGCCAACTAGTATACCGTTATGTCTAGGGGGTACTCACTCACAAACCACACGCAAACAGAAACGAGCTTGTAAGTAAGTAGGAATTCCTTGAGTTCTCCACTCCGCATCCTCTGATTCTTCCAATACCCAATTCCTTTCCGCCAGGCGGCTCCACTCGAAAGCCCGACTGAGCATCCGAAATGCACCAGCACTCCGCCTCCTGTGCTCGTTCCTCGTACCTCGACAACCAGCTCTTCACGTTCTCTGCCACGATGCCGCCGGTGAAGCCGATGGGCTGCCCGACACCGCGTGGATAGCCTCAGCGAGGAGGAGACAGGAAGAACCCTAGGGCTCCTGGCCGCCCCCTCCTGAGGTACGGTGGTTAGGGTGGGTGCCAGGTAGGTCGAATACCACCGAACCTGAGGATATGGACCAGGAGCCCTAGGGAACATCTCGGGGAAAACCAGGAAACGACAGCCTCCAGCTCGAGCCACATGGTGCAAAGAGTCGAGTGCTGGGTGAATTGAGCCATGCAGGTGATTTGCTGGGTCTTTGCAAAGAAATTGAGATCAAGTCAATTCCTCTAGCGGCAACAAGTCTATATGAAATCTCCTCTTGACAAATGTCAGTGTTGCTCAAGGCTGCACGATGGACAACCCAATTGACAGGGCATGGGTAGCTTGGCCGGGTTGTCCTGCATGTCGTCTATCTTGAAGACCACCATAAATATAACAGAATGATCAATCCTATCCACCCAAATGGCCTCACAACCACTGGTAACGACTGGTAACCTGGTCACCAGTGTCCTTCCACACCTTCGACACCTCTTCGACACCTCCAAGCCACCCACCGGGATCTCTGGCACCTCCGTGGGTTGGATCCCCAAGCCGCCGCTGTCATCGAAGAAGGCCGCCAGGTTCTGCAGCGTCCGCGCGTGCGTGGCGGAAGCCGCGCGCGCCCCGCGGGAGAGGTCCAGCGTTTGACGGACCCAGGGCCAGGAGGTCACCCCATCGCGCCTGGGCAGAAGGGTCGCAGAAGGGGCGCGCTTGGGAGGGTCGCGCTGAATCTGGGATGGGCTGGTGAGGCGAACGGGAGGCGAACGGGAGTTTGGAGTGACTGATGTTCTGCTCGCATGAAGAACACAGCGTTTCTCATTCCAGGCTTGAAAGTTAGGGAATGATGCGGGGATGAGAGATGTTTTTTTTTCAATCCAGCACTGCGATGGATGGAGTTCTGGATGAAGTTGGAAATTCCAGAGACGTGTACATCTGCAAGTCACTGGAGTGGAATGTTGGGATTCAATTGGAGTGTTTTCCAATTCTACTGGTCTAAGAGAATCCTAGAACCAACACATGAAGAACACGCAAAAAGCTCTCTGGATCTTTCTGATACATATATAGAGAACAAGGATGATCCGTATGATTCTGTATGTCTTCCTCCCCTCCCCTGCAAGCCCACCCTACACACCACCTGACACCAAACCCGACGAACGTCCGACCGACCGTCTCAGACCGACTGAGAACACCAGCGAGGGGCTCGAAGACCGAGAGCAAGAAGATGGTCTCCGGATATCTCGCCGCCAGCTTCACCACGGTCTCAGAACCTGCAGTCCGAGTCGAAGTCCGAGTCCGGATCTGCTTCGTCCGAAATGGATCTCGGAACCTGGAGTTGGGGGGGAAGTCCCGGGGTCGATGTGTGTGTGTGTGTACCGGTACATGATTTCAGAAGTGACATGGCGCGCAACGTGGTGGAAGTCCCGTTGGAAGTTCTGATTCTAATTCGCGTTAGGTTGTGAGATGGCGCACAACATCATGCACAACTTAACTGTTATTTGTTTGTGTTGTTTTCTCGGCAAATTCTGATTCAGTGAGTGATCTGATCCGACCAAAAGGAGAGAAGCTTCGAAACAGAAATACCTTGGGTCTTGGGTGCGAACTTTCTGTAGCGTCGTCGTCATACGCAAACAAGCTGGAGGTGGACCACCTCCCCGTCTCTCTCTCTCTCTCTCTCTCTCTCTCCAAGAATTGCAATCAGAGTTGGGCCATGTTCTATCAAACCATGCCTGTCAAAGCACAAACCAACGCAATGAGAGATAGGTATGCCTGTCACATGTATCTATATAGTCGTTGTCATATACGAGTATCAGTTCGCAGGCTGCTTTTACCGCCGATGTCTGGTGGTGATCTATGGTGTTCTATGGTCATTGACAGAATTGATTGCACATATCATGTTCCGCTTCCAATCCCAAGAACCCAAAAATCCCAACTGCCACTGCCAAAACCAGCATTTCTGCCCTTGTGAGAGCATGTTGCATTCCCAAGAGTCTATCTCCTGGAACAATCTTGAATCTTGTATACCACATCTATCTTATATGAGTGTTGACACAATCTTTGTTTTGTGCAGTGAGTGACCCTCAAAACAGCTTCTGCACATCCAACTATATAATATATGCATTATATCTTATAGTTCGCTTTATTATCTTTATTTATATGAAACCCCCTAGTTGAAGAAAGGAAAACAATCCACACGTTCTCACCACACGATCCATGACATGAAAAACAAACCACACAACAAAACAATCTGGTCAGCAACAAAAACAGCAAGAACATGTCTCATAGCATGAACATCCAATGGGTGTCCACAATGGACTCCCACATGTCTCACGCCCACAGTGCAATGTCGGATGGTTTCTTGGAGATCCCCTTCAAAAAACCCCGCGCGTCGCAACTATGGGGGCAACGAAATACTCCACTCCAGGCAACTCAAGGTGCCCTCGCCGACGCTAAAGAGCGTGGGATCCACCCCTCGTGCACTGACGTTGATCTGGATGTGCCGGGCTTTGAAGCGATCGTTCCTCGGGTGGCGTCGGCTCGGAGCGGCTTGGAGCGTGAACGGAGCGCTTGGGGAGTGTGGCCGCGCGAAATCGGCGAAGAGCGTGTTGGAGGGCATGGCTTTTTTGGGCATAAATGATGGTTTTAGGGTGAGCAGCTGATGGTTCTTTGATGGTTTGGTGGCCGTTTTGGTCAGCCAACGGCCTTTGTTTGTGGTACCTGCAGGCAAATGGCTGGTGGCCAGAACTTTGAGCTAGACCCAAACACCATTGGCTAAGGAAGTTCTAGGTCTCAGGATGACCTCCAAGTTCGGCACCCCCTTTGTGACTCCGATGTCATCGCCCTCCACTACCACGGCAGAAGCCTAGATCCTCGTAGATCCCACTTTCTTCCGCCTCCCACATGCCTTAGGGAACTGGCGCTCGTTTTTCAAGACACGAGCAGCTCGTGCTGTGAGTACACCCGATCTGCCAAGATCTGTCGCGTCACATCGGCGAGACGTCCTCGCACGTCCCGAGTCTCTGGCCTGCTTGATCCAGCGATCTCCCCATGGATGTAACGCCTGGAAGCTGGATGCTTTCGGAACCTCCAAGAGCTTCATAGTAGAGCCCACGTAGATTCGACCCCCTAAGCCTCCATCTCCCAGTCTTGCAAGGCTTGCTTGTAACCAAAGCAAGCTTTCAGGTCCAGCACTGATTTCCAGTTCACCAGCCAAATAAGCTGGATCCCAAATCTCCAGCACCAGAAAAACCTCCCGCTTCAGGTCCAGCTCCATCTCTTTCACCGAGCCTTGCGGCTCCTGGAACTCCCACACGCAGTGTGCGCGTTCAGCTCGCTCCAACGGACACCACAGCCGTCGGTGACCGGGCACTGTCCACAGCTCGCGCGGGCGCTCGCGGTCGCTCACGGTCTCGCGTGGCACGTGCAACGAAGCGGAGATGATGGGGACGTGAGCTTCCAGGGCTTCAAGAAGTTGGCAGGTTTGAGGGAAAGTGTCACAGTTTGAAACGAAGTGGCAGGAGTTGTTCATCAAAAAGGTGATAGGTTGATCATGTTGCGCCGCCATGGCGTGCAGTGCACGAAGGGCCTCTGCTTGCAGCTCCGCTCCATTCTCCAGCAAACGGTGCTCCAGCAGTGCTTGAGCTTCTTCCAACTGCCGCACTCTTTCCAGGTCCGTGCGCTGTTCTTCCTGTGCTTGGACGTGCCTTGTTCTGTGCACCACGGGGCTTGGACGACCTGAAGCAAGGACATTGATGCAAAGAAATGCAAGAAATCTCCACCTCCCACCCAACGAAAACAAAACAAACATGGGTTGAAGTTGAAATGAATTTGCCGTGAGATGCTGGAGTGCTTAGAGGGGATCCCGCGACCTGATGCCTTTCTTTCACACCAACTTGTCCCAGCGCGAATCGGCTGTTGTCGCGCATCGGCGAAATGAGAGCAGCGGAGTGTGACCGGGAGGGAGGTGGGAAATGGCGTTCAGGACTCCAGAAACCTTGAGAACACGCGGCATCTTTTATATGCTATATAGGACTATAGTTATTTTATATTATAGCCTAACATCCGAAGCCAATCAAAGCTCGTTCACACCCTGAACTCTTCATGAAGTTCAGTTGAAGGCACGAAACTCCTCGGTGTCCCACAGGCTTTCTTTGAAGTCTCCAACCAATCGTCTCTCCCAAGCCTCCGCCTCCGCGTGACGGTTGAGCCGCCTGAGCCCCTCCAACGCCTGCCTTGGAGTTGTGGCCAAGAACCTGGACCCTCCAACAGGTCACGAATTGAGACCTGTTAGGGCCCACCAACCCTCAACTAACGACCTGTGAAAGGGTACTGGTAGTGGATTGAGAGGACCAATGGCACAGACCCCAAGAGGTGGTTTATATATGGACCCCCATCTAAAGGACATCATGGGGTCTGTGCCATCTACTCTGAAAACCACTGTAAACTAAATGTATTAAAAACATCTTCCCCAGGTTTGTGGAAAACATCACCTGATCCGCAGTTCACCAGGCTGCAAGGCTGCGAAGCGATTGCGGCCGCAAAGCGTCAAGGCCCGGCGCCAGGCCTGCAGCGTTGGTCGATGCTCGGCCAGGTAGAGCCAGGATTCCAGGCGGAAGGGCCATCGTTCAACCGCCTCGTCCAGTAGAGTGGTCCAAGTTGAGTCAGATCTGCGGATCTGGGGCAACAGCGCAAAGAACAGATCCGGATGCGGAGCCCATTGAGCAAGACTGCTGGACGACCCTGGCCGTGTACCAGTAGCTGCATCATGATGTGGGACCTTCAGGAGTGGTCGACAACGCTGCGGATCCCCAGACTCGTTCTCTTCCACGCAGCGAGATGCACCTTCTGCACGGACGCGCCGGTGCCAGCGGAGCCTCCGCAACGCGGCCTTCGCTTCCCAATGGCCGGCACAGGCTCGTTGTGCCTTGCGCAGCTTCCCTTCGACTCGCTCGGCGTGCGTCTCGTTGAGGAACACGGCGTGGTGCCAGCTTTCGGGAAAGTTCGGAGACAAGTACAGCAAGGGGCCAGCCAAAGCTCGGACCTCGGACAGCTTCGCTTGGCAGGTCCTGCAAGAGCAAATCCAACATGGTCACTGATTCACTTTAATGTGTTTCATAAGGGTTAACCACTAGGTTGAGAATCTTTCTGGGTGATGAAGATCATCTTTAAAACCGCAATAAACCCATTGCCATAGCAATCAGTCTGTTCCTTTCACTGCAATTTGTGATACTTCTTCAAAGCATGTCGACCAAACCGACCAAACCTCTTCAACGTCAGACCTGTCGACGGCACCGCTCGACCTGCCCCTGTTGGACTGTACCGCCCACCTCTCCTGCTGGCGTTCGCACCGAGACCAGAAGTTCGACCCAGAACCGTCAGCCCATTGTCTGCAAGGGAATGCTCTAAAACCTCCCATTCACCGGCAGCCTCGGATGAGCTGGCATGGAGAATCTGTTTCGCTTCAAATCTGGGGAGAGTCAGTTTCGAAACAGTCTGAAACACCAACAGTTTCGTTATGTTCACTTGACCACCAGTATAGTTAACACGAAGCTTGACCACCAGTATAGTTAACACGAAGTTAAAACTCTGTTATCTCTCGGGGTGCCCGCCCTTTCTCCATTGATTTCCTCTTTGGCTGCAGTAAACCATAATTAATGTGTTCTTGAATGTTCTTGAACCTCTTCACCCCAGAAATATTAGATTCCCGGCTGCCGGGGCATCCAGCAAAAATTGACCTCTGCTCATCCCCAGCATCCGAGGGTCCCTTCAACCACCCCTCGATGGCCACCTGCAAGCCTGAACCCAGCTGCTCCAGATCTGCTTGGGCATCTCGCAGCGCTTCCTCCACATGCTCCAAATCCAAGTCTTCCAACGAAGACGCCGCTTGGGAATGCATCAACTTCCCCACGTGGTACGCCTCACACGTAAGGCGTTTTTTTTGCCGCACTACATCGTTCAGAGTCGAAAGCACCAGCCATCCAAAAACGTTCATGCGTTTTTCCAGCACCAGCCAGTCAGACATCTGTTGTCTCCTGCTTGTTTGTTTTGTGGCAGTTCCGTACCTGGATGCATTGGTCGATATTATTGTTGTTTCGACTTGCTGGTCACCCTTCCGCCCTGCTGGTCACCCCGCCTGCTGGTTCTTCAAGATCTTTTGCTTGCGGCGATGTGAAAACAAGGTGCCGTCGTCATGGATGGGCTCGTCTTCTGTACCAAAGGTCTCGGTATCATGCAAAATGATGTAGGACTTCGTTAAGGGCCCAAAGGCCTCCAGTTCCTGGGCCAGCTGCTCTCGCGTATGGGCCGTGTCGATGAACAGGAGATCGGGTGATGGAAAGGAGGAGGACTCTTCGCCTGAAGAACAGGGAGGTGAGAAAGGATAGATTGACTTCAAACTTGTCTTAGGCGATGTTGGTTCATGACCCTGAATGGGTTAGAAGATGTTAGAAGTCTTTATTTCATACCATCACTCCTTATAGCTTCTGGTACAGCTAACATGTGATTGTGCTGGACCTTCAAATAATCAATGCATCATGAACAACTCAAGAAACACCTTTTCTGAAACAGCTAAGTCCAGCCACCCTCTCCTTCGAAGTCACCAATGGTCTCCAGAAAGCTCTGGTTCAACACATCTCCCTTTCTGAATCGAACCTCCACAGGCTCACAGCCTTGCAGGAACGGCATCGTCCTCTGGACGCCAGGGGCATCAATGATGTCATACATGCGATATCCTGCAGCAGGAATCTGTCACACAACTTTTAGTTTTGCATTGGAATCTACCCCGACAGGGCTCCGAGTTCGGCCCATCTCCGAGTTCGGTCGGAATTCGAACCCCCAAGACCGACCACCCCAGTCCCACCTCACTCCTGGCCTAGGGATAGGGAGACCCCACTGGAGACCAGGGGTCTCGATTTTCCCAACCGAACCCAGGGGGTCGTCTTTCTGCTTCGATTCACTCTGGTGGCAATCTGAGATCCACCAATTGTGGTGGAACGATGCAGTTATATGGATCCCGGAAGCACTGGAGGGGTTCGACATCTCTTAAAATACAACTAATCACCTGAAGAGAAACTCATGTCACCTCTCTTTCGACAGGAAACTTTGGAAACAGCCTCAGTTTGGGTGGTTGGTGGTCAAACAAGAGCTCGCTCACTCAGGTTCTATATCAGCTTCTAGCTCTAGCTAGCTACCGATTCAGCAGATCCCCAAGTGTCGGTATCGCTCTCCACGCACCGCCGCTTCCAATGCCGCCCGCGCAAAGGCCACGGAGGAATGCCCCCGCGCCACGCCCAGCTCCGCGACAGAGGTCACGCGCCGGGCGTACTCGAGTAGGGTTGGAAGATGACCGCCTTGGATGGGTCCATGGACGCCCCGTCGTGAAGGGGGTCGAACTGTTCGGTGTTCGTGTTGCGGAGATGGTTGGGGTGGGTGTTGTTTGCGCTTTTTTGTCTATAATGATATGGGCCGTTCGGAGCCCTGGTGCCCTAGGAATGGATTCAACAAATCGATTCTGAGAATTTCATTGAATCGAATCGATTTGGTTGAATCCGTGTTGAATTGATTTTTTGAACAATGAATCAATGAATACAGAATTCAGAATCTTTCAACATTCAACACATGGATTCATTATGATTCATTGATTTGTCTGGAGCGGAAGATTCTGGGGAGATGTTCGGAGCGGATTGTGAAGGTTTCAGGCGACTTCGTAACAGGTTTTCATTCGACCGATGCGGCCAATGTCTCTGACAGGTGGCTTTGGGGTTCTGGACATGTGAAGAGGAGCCTCTGCAAAGAAATGAGCTCGTTTTGGATCCGCTTTTGGGTCTTTGGATTTCGTGGTCATCCATATACTGGGGCCATGCTATCCCATCCAAGGGAATGTCCTTCAAACGAATGAAAACAAAACAGAAACAACAACCTGCGTAAAGAACCGGTGCTTCAAAAGACAGTGCAAGGGACCCAAGGACAAGAAAAACATCCGAGAAAACTGAGAGTTATCATGATATTCTGGACTCAAACTCTACTCTAATACTACCATGGTAATCCACCCGATATGTCCTAAGACACCCTGCTTCATATTCCCACCCAATGCACCACTTGACAGAATACACAGCAAAAAAAAAACTATTTAAAGCGCTTCATGGGCACGTATGTCGCAGGACTCAGCGCCTTCCAAGATCTTCTCATAGACCTCCTCCAGCGCCTCGAGCGACCTCGCACAACGTGCGGTGGTGGTGTGAGCTGCGCGGTCTCCAAGCTCCGCGAGATGCGCCACGGGACACAGCAGCGCAAGGATGGTCCATGGGAGGAAACGTGAAGCAAAAGGCATCGGTTTGAGAAGTGCGGTTGGCTCGGATTCTGATTGGGTTTGAAAAATCCGGACTGACCCACAACTGTGTTCATGCTCGTTGAAGCACATGTTCTTTCTTGCTGCTCAGAGTTCTGGTGAGCAGAAATTTGAGTAAAAGTAGAACTGTTTGAGCTGTGTGGACTCAACACTAAGTCAGCAGTTGCTTGTCATCTTTTCTTGGATTTGCTCTGGAAAAAACTAAAAACCGTTCCCCAGCAGGGGATTGCATAAAGGGAAAATAAAACAAATCACCTGATCCGCAAAACCCGGTTTGGGGTAGTAGCATCATGGACGGTTTTCTAAGCCAAAAGGACATTGCTCTCAGCAATTGTTGTTTGATATCTTTGAGGCTGGCCTAGATCCGGATATCAACTCAGAGGTGACAAGTCAGCCCACTTTACCAGAAAATACTGCAATGCATAGATTTGTCTTCCTGTTGCGAGACCTGTGTAGTGGGCCCTATGACTTTTCCTTCGTAAGGCACTCAGCTAAGCTTGCTAAGCCCAACAGCTGACGGCCATGCGCAGCATGTGAGGAGCCCAGGGAAAATCCTGAAAACGGGCAAAAGCAAACGTACACAAAGCCAGGCGAACACAATCAAAAGCAAACAAAAACAGAACAACAAGCCAGGCAAAAAACAATCAAAAACACGACTGCCAGGCACCGAAAGCTGCCATCCACTGGAACGGGTTCCGGACCCCCCAAAGTCCGCTCAACCTGGTCACCCGAAACGTCCAGCGGAGCGCCGTTTCAGCGCCGAAAAAGGAACGAACGTCCGAGAGCCGATGCCATGCTCTACGTACCGCATGAGACGGCATGAGGCGTATGTCTTGTATCGATGAGGGTCTCACATAGGAAGCTGATCAGCCGTTCCATGCGCTCGTCCCCCGTCAGCAGCCAGGAGACGTACCTCGGGACTGGTAAAAATATGATCCCCCCAAACAAATTGGTGTTACTTAGTATAGGGCTTGGCTCGGGCCATGAGTCATAAAGGGCTACTGAATGGTTTTCGGCATGTGTCTGGAGACTATGTAGATATTTTAAGTAAGAATGAGATGGGTTTATCTGAAAGACCTTGGACTAATAGACCCTCAATCACATGCGTTCCTACTTTGACACATATCCAACTCTAAGTGAGGTTTTGAACTCTGCTGCGGAGTTTGGAAAACCATGGTGGTGAACAAGCCCAAGCTGCATTCCAATAGATCCACTGAAAGGCATTCCTTTATATTGTGAGTGAACATCAACACCTGCACCTTTGCAACACTATGGACTATGTCTGTTGTTGAACCTCCACCGGATTGGTCGATTCCTTTCGTTTTATTTGACACACCGCCACACCTGACCCGTGGTGGTCCAATCGGGCTCCTTGACCTCTGAAGCGGTCCACTTGCTAACCCAAATACACCATGAAAACATACCATATTTACCGGACATTGGGTGGTTGACCTGAAGTCCTACACTAGTTGCTGTGGGGGCGGGGCTGACCCGGAACACACATTCTATGGTTCTGTCAGTCAGTATGTGCAAAAACAATCAACATGCATCCGGTCATGTACTCACCTCAAAGTGTAAGAAGTTCTCACCAAGGTACTTCCAGTCTTGCGTTTCATTCAAATGATAAGAGAGCTTTGTCCCAGCCGGCATGGCTGTAATCATCTCCTCGATCTCTCGCCAGGATGGATAAGTCTCACCACCCGGATAACGGCGCCCCTCGAGGGTCACATCGGAGTCTCGGTAGCCCACAGCCCTCTCCTTGGCTGGCGCTAGGCACCCTAGGCACCCTAGGCCCACCATTGATTTAATGGTCTGAATCCCAAAGAACCATTCTTTTACTAAGGATTACAATACAATAGTTTACACTACACAACCAGGTGAACCATGTTTGTAGTGGTCTTGGAAGGCTAGCAGCTGATGGATCTGCACGATATGCGGATCCATACTGTACCACTCCACAAGGCACGAAGGCGGGTAGATATACAAGTCCCTCAGTCCCTCAAGTCAGGAGAAACTATAGATTCTTCTGGAATGGGGACTATGGTGATGGGTTAACATCCACTGGAGCCCCCTTCCACCCTGCTAGCTTGGACCATTCAGCAGGTCTCTTACAGTGATGATGCGACCTCCAACAGTGAGCAAACCGACACGTCTCTTGCCTCAGATCTTTGAATGGGACTGGCATATAGTTACTCATCACTTGGGGTGGCATCCACCAACGACGTGGTGTTCTTTTTCGGGTTTGGGGCTCATGTGTATGAATGTACTCATGGATGTACCTAGACCCGACTTCAAGTACTCTAGAAAATGCGAGTGCTTTGGGAATGATCCTATCGCTGTACATGTTTGCAGCACTGGTCGAAGGCGGATCTTGAGATTATCACCATGTCTGCCATTGGCTCGGCACCTCTGCACCTCTTTGAAATTGGGAACCACCTACCAAACACACCCAAAAACACAAAAGAAAAACACAAGAAGTCTGAAAGCCTGGTTCTTCAAAGTGACGGAGCTTCATATCCTGGTTTGAGGTTGCTTAGACCTGCAAAAGGTCACTGGATGGGACTCGAAAAAAGGTCATTTTGAAGAAGTCCACCAGGTTATAAATATCTTCACCAGGCATCCCAAGGAAATCCTTGATATGCCAACTGAAAGGCTGCGACGGGCTCCACGCGGCATGCGTCGGGCCTTTGGAAGAGCTTGCCCAGTCGATCACGTGGATAGGTGATATCCAAACCACCTCAATTCAAAGCTTCCAGCTGCCACATAGGCGCAAGCCAATGCAGCGAATGTGTAGAACTGTAGAACCCTTGTTTGGAAGCTCCCCTTTTTCTAGACCAAAGACAGTAGCCAAAACAGTAGGCGAACCAAAAGCCCCTCTCTTTGGGGGGTCGGCCACGGGCGAACCAAAGCCCCCTGAATAGACGTCGATGAGTTCGCTACTTGGCACCGCCGACGTCCGGGCGAACCACGCCACTTTGCACCGCAGTTCCGGATCCTTTTCACCCCCCAAGGACGAGCAATTCGCTCCGTGGAGGAGCAATACGGAAAGGAGGTGTGTGGACCCCAGGGGTGACACTCCCTGAAATGATCATGGGAAGTGGCATTGGAGGACCCTTTTCCTTGAGAAAACATGTGTTTTTCCATGGTTTTCCACTTCTTAGTGACTCGGAGTGTATTGTCTTACCCGTCGTACTTAATTGGCTCCCCAGTGACTAGAATCTGAACCCCCCACAAATCTAAAACAATACGATGGGACCCCAAGGGTTGCTTGCAACAGAAGAACTCTCCAGCGACCCCACTTGTGAATCCCGATGTGTTGACCGATCACGATCCAAGCGGCAAATGCCAAACTCCAGCTTTCGGGCTCTCATCCCAGCAGTTCAAAGCGCTGGTAGTTCAAAGGACTAGCCAAAGATTTGCTCACCATGGAGGACGCATGAGGCTTGAAGCAAAGTCTGCAAAGCATGTGACATTTGAAACAATGAGCAGTGGGAAAAAATTAGTCATGATGTCAAATCTCCTACTCCATCGACACGGATTTGCCAAACAAAAAACTCGAGTTGAACTGTGTAGATCCTGTGTCTCCAAAGATTATCGATTCCAAGTTCTGATATTTAGAGCTGCGGTAGACGGTTGTGATAACATGATGACGGGCTTATGAGTGAATCCAGTTGGTATTGGTTACCAGCTGAATTGTGGTGTTTGAAGGTTGCCAATGGTGAAACATATTTCCACTGTATTGTCGAAAACAAATTGACAAAACCTGATTTGAACACCACTAAACATTGCTTTGACCCCTAT